CTTAGGATGCGAAGTACCAAAGCACTTCACTCTCGGACGCTGCCGCTTCAGCTGGCGGTGTGCTGTCATGGAACGCACTGTGTAACAGCTGTGTTAGCGAAAGCACTGGGCTGTCCGCATGATGAAAGGTGGCAAGTGTACATCTGCGTATCATACGTTAGTTCACAACAGAACTGTGTCGTGAGCTGTTCTGGAAATGATGTACCTTGCCTCCTCTGTCTGTTTGAGTGTCCATGCAATTTCATTTTAAATGACAATTTCTAGATAGTACAAAACAGTATCAGTTTCGTGTTGCCTATTATTTAGAGATAGCCCTCCCCTATTTAATGCTGTCACCTTTTATAGTGAGACAAATAAGCAGCTGAGATAATTGAATGTCAATGATAAGGGATGTATTTTTTTTTGAAAGTCATGTGCAATCTACTTCTGGTTTGGGATCACCATTTTTAAAGCTCGGGCTTCAGCCAAAGGTTACTAAGTACCATCTGCAGTTATTTTTTAACTGCAAATCCATATTTATATATTAAAATGTGATGGTAGCAGGTTGTGAGTGAGTAGATGATTACATGGTGATTTTTCTGTGCTTGAGCTGTTCAGATCTCTAAATTTCTGGTTGATTTTTATAATCAGTGGTTATGCTTTCCCCACACTGCCAGTGTTAATGCACAGTGCTGTACAAAAGCCATTTTACACACGTGGAGACTTAGGATAGTTTTATAGTATTTTGAGGTGTTTATTTAAATACTAGTTTGCAGTTAGGGCTAACCTAGTATGTGAAAAATAAAAAAGATCATTTTGTTGGTTGGTTTTTTCTCCTCTGCCTATATGTGGCCGCATCTATGCAATGTATCTCTGATTTAGACTTTAATCAAGAGCCATGAATTTTAATCAATTAAAAGTAAAAGATGCATGGGAAATTGCTCATTACAGAGGGAGTTAGTTTGAGTAAAGGAATAGGTGTAGTGTGGACAGAGAGGATAAAAACTTCCCTTCCCTTGGGTGTCTTTTGTATCGGTATCTTGTTTGGGCATGAGAAGTTCGGTTCAACTGCCGGCACCCCTGCTCTTGGCTCGTTGGCGGCGAAACATCCTCTTGCTTTGCCACCAGCTCCCCGTCTATCCTGTGGAAAATCACTTAAGCAAGTTTTACATTTCTCCTTTTCCAATCAAATGGGAATACTGATACTAATTATACCCTGGTGGCATTAAGTCAGGGCGTAGGGTGCCCTGAGGTGAAAACCTTGGAGCCATATATTATTTATTTCCTCTTGTGCAGAGGGTTGTTCCCCAAGGCTGGAATGGAGATTATCAGTTTACAAAATGGCTGTTCTGATGGTAATAACTGGCAACTTCAGCTATCAACTTTGACGTCTGATGAACGGCAGCTCGGGGAAGAGAGGTTTCTCAATTCATTAACAATCCTGCAAAGCATGCTGGCCTCAGAAAATGGCTTGGTCTTTAAACAGGGGAAATCAATCACACCACTTGAAATAATATTCTCCTCATCATAAAGTGTCAAATCACCGTTTAATATAAACCTCTTCCATTTTAATTTTTCTGCACTATTTTTAGGAAAGTGATGTGTGTTGCAGAATTTAGCAGCTCGGTGTTCTCTGCCAAGCTAGATGAAATTCCCTCTACAGAAGCTAAGGGGGTGGGTGAGGGGAACAAATAGAATTTAGACCATGTCTGGGGTAGGATACTTCCAGAAAGGGTCCTCGGGAACACAGTGAAATGTTCCCCAGGAGGGACTCTGCATCCCCTTCCTTTTCGGGGAAGGGGTGGACCTCCTCTGGGAGGCTGTCCCTCTGTTCCTCAGCCGGGTACAGGGCACGTCTGAGGGGCAGGGCTCACACCGAAGCTGCACGGCGTTAGTGCAGTTCAATTCGGGATCGTATTCAGGGGGCCTTATGGGCGTTTAAACCCATTTTTCTGGCTGCAGCAGTCCTTCTGGTTAGCAAAAGTGCCTGTGATTTGATAAACCAGAGCTGTGTCTTCACATGTATTTTCTGGCTACAGAGCTTGTCTGAATAAAGTCTCCCAAAGAAAAATGACCCAACTGGCTCTGAAAAAAGAAAAAGAAAAAAGAAAAATAAAGGGCTGAAATCTGGGACACTTGGTCTAAGAAACGTAGCGCCATGGGAATTTCTGTCAAAGTGGAGGAGAAGGCTGAGAGCCGGCTGCTGTGCAGTAGCGGAAGGTACCCGCAGGACGTATGGCAGAGGGTGCTCTCCCCTCCCTCGCAGCCTGCTTGGGCACTGTGCGGTATGAGGGCTGAACCAGACAGGTGGATTTTTCAAGCCTATTCCCAGTTTACAATTTATAACTTCTTTGTATGATGGGAAGACTTCCATTGCCTTCTTTTATATCCTGTATATATGGTGAATTGCTGATTCTTTCTTGTGATGTCTTGTATGTGGTCTTCTGTCTAAATGAGGTATCAGAGCAAGAACTGTCTGTCTCTCTGGAGAAAACCAAGCAAGCAAGCAAACGACCCTCACCCAGCCCTTCTTCTGCAGAAATGTGTGATTTACAGCGAGGAAACACTTCCTCTACTTCCAACAGCATGCCGTGGCATTCTAGTGATTTACTTTCTAGGCATATTGACAAACATTGTTTTACACTTGAGTTATCTTTAAAGCACAAGCGAAGAGGTAGCTCTGAAATCATGCTCAGGGCTTCCCTCTCCTCCTGCTGGGATTTACACACAAGAGCACCTCTTCATGGCCAGAGCAGCAGAGACGGGTAGTGAAGACAAAAAACCAAGGGGAACATGTTGTTTATCCATTGCTACAAGCAAATCATTGGTGATTGCGCCAGATCTAGCTTTGCTTCCATGTCAGTGCTTGGAAGATGGTAAGGAGATCAGGAAAACCGGGAGGGGGGAAGCCTTAAAGAGCATCCGTGTTTTCTCAGAGGCTAAGAAGAGACTATTAGAGACTGTAATGGTTGGCAGAGAGACACGGTTCAAATAGTTGTTCTTAAAAATGGGGTTGCCAACTCTACCTCCAAGCAAGATACAATCTTCATCTGCATTCTCCCATGGACACGACTGCAGCCTCGACATTTGATTTCATCGTTTCCTGAGCATTGCTGATTAAAGCTGCTGCAGTTGTGGTTATTCTGCAGCTATCTGCAAAGCTGAAAAGCTGTCATCTATGTTTTTGCTTGCCTGTGCTCTGCATACGGATTGTTGCTCTGCTCAGGACTGGTGGGGTCTTACCGCTGTGCAGGTGTCAGAACGCTGCGAGCTCTGTCCAGGGTTCTTGCGAGTTTTCAGTTGATCTCATCATCCGCATGAATATGAATGCAAAACACGGAAATATATGTGTCACTTTCTCCTTTCCAGGTCAACGGTGACATTCCACCTCGATTAAAAAAGAGTGCCCATGAAATAATCCTGGATTTCATCCGATCGCGACCTCCATTAAATCCTGTACGTAATCCAGTGGGCTTCATTCCTAACAAAAGTGTGGCTTTTTAAAGCATGTTTGTGTCCAGGGGGTATGTTAAATATTACATTTTCTGACATGCGCTTTCAAAAATATTGTCTTCTGTATATAGAACGTGATCTCTTAAAAGAACAGTGTGTAATATCTTGCACCTACCAATTAATAGCTATTATCACCAGCAGCCCTTTATCTCTGGGAAATCATGATGAATTATGGAAAAATACAATCCTCTTTCCAATTCATGTGAGTTTTACAATTGAGTGCATGTAAAATCATATCACAGCACTGCACATTTTTATCCAAAAAAGTGTGAAATCTACTTTCAAGGAAGCACTGGTTTATATAAATACGATTATCTTTATATCCCAAGGCTTCAGCAAGAAAACTGAAACCAACCCCACCACGGCCACGCAGCCTTCATGAAAGGATACTGGAGGAGATCAAGGCAGAGAGGAAGTTACGTCCAGTCTCACCTGATGAGATAAGGCGTAGCCGGCTGGGTAAGCACATTGCGAGTTTTTACCTGCAGCATCCACAGAAAACTTCCCCCGTAAGAAGCGGCAATATTAGTGATCCTTGCAGATGTCGCGGAAGATAAATTTATTCGCATCCCTTCAGAGAAAAAAAGAACCTACAGGCTTTGCTAGGGCTATGCAATCTTTGTGCTATTTTAAAAACAAGATACTCAATGGTTCAGCTTGATTCCCTTCAAGTTTTTAGTGTAAGTATTAGATAAATTTAATGGCATTATATTGCTTGTTGCACGTGACAGTTAATGTTAGATTTGCTCAGAATGGAATGGGTATTGCTTCTCCCCAGTGCAGTATTCCTTACATATCTGCAAGTATTCTTTATGTGTCTGTTTGTAATTAATTTTATTCTCTTTGTTTCCTGTTGCTAGCATCATCAGCTTCCTTATTTTAATTTAAAGTCTGCTTTTATTTTGTTTGCTGAATCGATTGCTTTTATTTTGAATCTAAACCTTTGCTTCGTTTTCTAAGTTACAGAACATGTGTTTGTATATATTTTCAGTGGGCGAATAATTCAGACTTGCACTGCAAAGCATTTCATTTCTGCATTCAGTAACCCACTATGAAATTATACAAATACTATGCTTTCTAACAATCACCAATTTGCATTAGTTCAATGGTTCTGATGACAAAAGCATGATAAATAGTCTTACATTGTGACTTACGTTTCTTTAAGAGCACGGTATTTATCTGTATCAGAAAAACTGAGCTAGCTGGATTTTTGAAGAGCAAAAGTGGCATCTTACGGCTGAAAAGCATGCAGTAATCCTCATATGTGCTCCCTGTTGCTGCTTTTTGCAAAATATTTGTGCTTGCCACATCTGCTTAAAGGCACTGGTGCAGATTCAAGTGGGTTGTGACAACCCATTGTCTCCGGAGAAAAACAATTTCATCAGTCTTGCTTTCTTGAATTGTTTTTGAAGTGCTTGGTAGAGTTTGGTGAATGCTGGAGTGCATTTTTAAAAGCATGTTCTGAGTGTTGTTTCTTTGGACCTTCCAGTTTCTGGTTTGGATTCAGTTTATGCTTGCTGTATCAATTAAGGCTTCTAATAGGCCTAGACATTTTTCCAAGTGTAGGAAGCATGTAAAAACGTGGAACGATTCCTTACTTTGCTTTCAAACATTCAATTTCAGTGTTTTAAATGTTCTCCATCTGGGAATTATCACGTCCTCTCAGGGGCAGCAAATTTGATCTAATAGATCTTTAAAATTTCTAACTGATATAAATGACATCAAACCCATTTAGTAAACAATTTCTAAAAACAATGTTAAATTTTGGAGTGTTACTGGCTAGGACTTCCTGGACTGATGTCAGGGCAAGGCCTCCAATGAGGGATACCTATCTTCCAGCAATTCTTCATTTTTTGTTAAAGCATTAAATTTTTGAGTTTTGGAACTGTGGTAATTCCCCTTCAGTCCAGTGAATTGTTTGGATTAAATGCCATATTACTGGAGGTGTAAAAGGCGATGCACGCAAGTTTTATTTCCCAAGTGTTTGCTGCTGGTATGAAGAAGAAAAAAGAGCAAAGGCCTTGAAGATAATTTTTTCTTATGTGGAAATACGAGGTTTTGTTCTTTCTCGCATTGAAATGGTCGTTATGTCCAAAGTTCCTTTTAGAATAGAATGTGTTTGTGCGGAATTGGGAATGGAGTAATGCTAGTGACATTCAGTGTGGTACAAATAGATCTGCTATAGCGTTTAGATGACAGCTGAATGTAATGTAGTGTAAGAACGTGTAAGGTAATGAGGTTTAAGGACTATACATTTCAGTAGAAACACCATGTGGGACACTTGCACCATCTGGACAAACATATTTGTTGCTATTAAAAAGAAAAAAAAAAAGCGTGTTAAGAGTGAAGTATTGGGGCGCATGAGGTACGTTGCACATGTCCCAGAGTTACTGCTTGTTCCTCAGTTCATAGCAGTCAAGAGCACAACTAGGCTTGACTGTTGGGGTGAGGGGGGCTGTTTCCCAGCAGCCATGGGCTTCGTCCCTCTCCTCTGCACAACACGTGCCTGCAGGTAAGGTCCTCTCTACCCTGAGCTGCCATGGGGAAAAAGCCATCCGGTGCCTGGCCGCTCTCAAGCTGAACCTTCTTTGGAAAAGGTAATTTAATCTTGGCAGAGCAAAGGGAGGGGTTTGAGTAGAGGAACTGGAGCGAGCTTTCAAGTGACCGCATAAAATCATCAAAGTAAGCTATTGAGACAGACACAGCCTTGAGGTACGTGTCCTTTTAATTAAAAGCATGGATTTGTGACTTGAGCAAGTTGAGCTAATGGGAGCTAATGTACGTGTTTTGTCAACCTTCGGTTAGGACTCAGCATTAGGTGATAAACACCCTTACGCTTTTCAGTGTATTTGCCTTTATGCTAAGTTTGGAGGGGAATTTAGATACTGTTTCTGTAGCTGTTATCTGTGGCTGATGTTGTCTTGTTAATGAGCTACAGGAAAAACACCCTGACTCCCAAATTTGGCTCCGAGTCGGCCACCTACTGCCTTCGCCACGTAGATGTATTCTCATGAGCAAAACTTGTCCCAGCACAACCTTTTTTTAAACATCATTTAATGCAGTGGTCTGTGTGGCTGCCAGGCCCTTTCCTACCAGTTTGCATGTTTATCGCCTGTCAAGTAAGACAGATAAGCTGAGGTCTGCTTTGATGCATTCTTGTACATTCTTGTTGCTGGGCTTGGCTTGCTTATTTGGATTAGTGCACTGAAATCTTGTTTTCAGTTGAGAAATATTTTGAGTGCCTGCTCCCTGAATTACACCATTTAATTGGAAATATAGATAGGTCTTTCCAGAAATAAAGAACATCTGAGCACTTCCTTATCTAGGAATAAAAAGTTTAGAGGCCCAGAAAGAAGAGAATAATATTATGGATACGTTTTAAAGGCAGAGTCCACCTAAGGTTTTTAAAAATAACAAGAATCGGCGCAAATCACACTGTGTTCGGCCTTTTTTTCCATCCTCTTTAAGGAAACTACTGCTGAAGCTTAGCTTGAGTGTCTCTCTTTATTAGTTTAATTATAATCATTGGAGATTATGCTTAAAAAAAATTAGAAATATCTTTATTTCAGGTCACTGAAACTTGTGTGAAATGTGGCTTTGTACTTTCAGAATTTTTTCAGCCCTTTCTCTCCCCTCTCTTTCTTTTCCCTATCGCCTTTCTCTCTTTCATGGCATTTTAATTGAAAATATTCCATTTTTAAGATATTTGCCTTTTGGTTTGGTATTTGATTTATTGAATTCCAAAACTCTCATTCTACAACTATACAAATATATTTGTAATTGCTCTGTTTGCAAGTCCCATTTATGCTACTGTAGATTTCAGACTTTGAGCTTTACTACAGTAAAGCAATAGTACGTCTGACACATTTTGGATTTAGGCAACGGAATCCAAAATGTCTGAAGTGGAGTTAATATTTTGTTTTCATTACCTCTTTGCTTTTCTAATAGCTGAATTGTTTTCTTTTTGTTGTTTTTGTTTCTTTTTTACAGCAATGCGGCCACTTAGCATGTCTTACAGTTTTGACTTGTCAGGTAAAAGGTGCAACAACACCTGACGTGATTATTGTGCTTATTGTGAAATATGTTCCATCTGTTTGTTGAATTCCCATTTAAGAAAGAAACTTGAAGGGATTCTTCCAAGATATGGTCAGTGAAAATAAAAATTAAGATCAATTACTTATTAATACCTCCATTTCCCTTGCCACAAAAGGTTGCCTGGGTATAGGAAACAACTGTATTTCACCTGAAATAGAGTGTTGGCATCCTGTTTAAATAAATAACCAAAATGAGGTGGCCCAGAGCTATTCTAAACTCTGAAAAGGACTGCAGAATACAGTGTCACCTTCCAGTCTGATTTACTTATTTATTAATCTGACCTTTGTGTCTTTACATTCACTTTTTGATTAGACCATCTTTTGCAGTACTTCATTTCTCACGAGGATCCAAAAGCTAGTTTTGAACTTATCTAGCTTTCTAGATTTAATGAAATACACCTATGAGTACTAATCTAGAAAGGAACTGTCAAGTTCTACTGAGTGTCTTTACCGTAAATGCTTTGTGAGTTGTGAAATCAGAGACCTTCACTCAAAAGAGGCTAAACCTTCCTTCTTTACTGGTTAGCAAAATAAGTTGCTAAGGTTTGCGGATCATAGCTGATAGAGAGGATTCGAGAGATGATCCTTCATCAACTATCTAATAGCAAATTTAAAGTTTCCCCTTGGTGGGCCTTTAATTAGAATGTGCAGTAGCTGTATGAACACGTTCTACTTCAGAGACTGCAATGTCATGAGACAAGAGAGTTTGTGCCTACTAGCCAGAAAATAAATTCATTCCTTCCTCAGCGTACGCTACCTTTCCAGGATGCTCAGGCCCAAAGACTCCATCATTGAGGCTGGAAATACTCTACATTACCCTCAAAAGTTTGTCTGCTGAGGAGAGCTCTTATGCTAGCTCTTCCCTAATTTCCCCTGGGTGACTCCTGAGAAAAACAGTGTCCAAATGAATCTGTGCTCTCATTTTGTGAAGAAGCAACTGCAGCTGTATCCTCCCCCCTTCCTTCCAGTTGCAGGTCGAAACACCTCATCTGGGGTTTCTGCAGAGTTTTCATCCTCTGTTTCTCCAGGCACCCTTTAACCTCATGTGGTTATTTTCCCCATAGAAAGGCATAACTGACATGCTAGCGTATTGTGAACTAGAAAGACCATATAGAAGTTTTTTGATTGCCATAATTTAAAAAATGCAATAGTTTGGTAACGTGGGAGTGAAGTTCACAAGGGACCTACCTGTGAGCGTGGCTGAGCCACGTAACAGCTTACCGCTGTCCAGAGACAAGGAGGGGCTCTCCCTGCTCCCACTCCCCCCCAGGGATGTGATTCCTCCTCTGTACCAGTCCTGCTCATTTATTCACAAGATGACCTGGTTAAACGCATGTAACCCAGGAACAAGTTCTTTTTTTTTTTTTTTACCAGGTTGGTTTTCTGCTCTTCTAGTGATTTAAACCTGCCTTCTATCTGATGAGGTGATGGGAGAGCGGGCTGAGGGCAGGGGATGAGTGTGGCTGGATGGGAGGAAGGCAGAGGCCCTCCCTGTCAGCAGCGCTGACAAGCTGTTAACCCAGCTCAAGCCCTTTTCTGAAACCTTACACTCAGGGCGTATTGTACAGCTACTACAGCCATCTGGTGGGATTCAAATTATAGATGTACTTGGTATCATGTTTTCCTCCACTGAAAGCTGAAGGGGCCCCAGGGATTCGGATAATAGCATGAGCGGGCAAACTTCCATTTTCAAATAGTATTGCTACTTTCAGATATGCCAAAAGTTCCTTCGGTTTTAAGACTATAAAACTGAATGCACCAGTGGCCACTGAAAGGGAAGTGTTCAGATCTGTCGTCCTACATGTGTCTGTCTGCTTCTTCTTTTGCCTTTTATTTCTAAGAATCCTGAGACATCTTCATTTGTTTAAATCCAAACAATATTTTGTAAAAATTCCCTTCATAATCCATTAATTCGTTACCATAATGTTTTTATTTTAAAGAGGTTGCTTCATAACAATCTGTACTGTACTTGGATTTGCTCCTTTTGACTGACCACCGAAGAACTCTTCCTGTTTTCTTTATCCATCTTCCAAATGTGATTGGTTTTGTTTTTTCAAGTCGTGTGGGTCTCAGCAAGTAGTATCATATGGTGTGACTGAGTGATCTGATAAATTGTCTTTAGAAGTAAATTCAGGATGATTAAAACGTTCCAGTTAGGTAGATGTGAGGCACCAGATGAGCAGTACAAATGAATTGGATGTGTTGGGATGTCGATAGTAAGCAGATAAGCAGTAGTTTTGAATGTTGTTGCTTTGTGTGCTTCTACTTTTTTCATTATTTTGGAGGCAGGGAAGCTATACCGTGCTTTCATCACTGTTTCAACACACTTGCTTTTTCACCGCTTTCATTGCTCTCTGCTTGGGGGAATTGCTGTCATGAAAAAAAAAAAACACGAAGCAGCTGAAAAAGAGAAGTGTTTCCTACTGAGTGCTAAAGGACAGGTGCAGGCTTATAGTATGCTTGCTGTCTGCGACTGACCAGTTCCGAGAAGACTTTTGCTGTAATTGCTATGTCACGCTGCCCAGCTCCATGCGTCTGCCTGCTGTTACCCTGAAGAGGAGAAGGAGGGGTGCCTGGGACCTCCTTTTACACTGCTGTTTCCTACTGGTAGGATGGACGGAGCAAGCGGCAGCCACCTGTAATGAGAGTAATCCAAGAGGTACTCAGGTATCGACTAGGGAACAGGGCAGTCATTGCCTGCTCCCTCTAATAGAAAAGTAACTTAAAAGCAGCTTAATTTCGATGCGCTGTGTTGAATGGAGCTCAAAAGATCAGTCATTCCCATGCTTAACACTCAAGTTCTTACCTCAAAGCTGTATACGTGGCTGCTATGAAGTTGGTACTTCAGAAAGAGTTTGTACAATTTGGAGGTCGGGGGGTGCTGTGCAGGGAGAGAAGAAAAAGGAAACTGAAACATTTAACCCCAAATTTCACGGGGATTATTCCTGTTGTTCCCAACCCTGTGAGGTGATGGGTATCATGGTTGGCTTTACACGATCTGTGCCTCAGACCAGTGTGAGGAAGGAACTCCACCAGGTCCTGGTAATCTCTTAGTTTACATAACACAGTAATAAATGTGATGCAGGCACCAGCAAAAGACTGGCAGTTTGGTATACTGATTTATTAGTTCTCAGGTTTTACTTCAACATCTAAGTCTATTGAAAGGAACAGCACATCTCTGTTACCATCATTCATTATATAATCTTTCCCAGTATATTATCCTCATCATAACTACCAAAAAGTAAACCTGTATTAATTCTGCAAATCCATTTTATCCTTCTTTTAAACTCAGTGTCAAAATTATAAGGTTGGGGAGTGCATTTGCTGTATAGAACAAAATGCAGGTTTCTGTTGTCATTATTTGCCAAGGAGAGCGGGTTAGGAGGCAGACAGCATATGGTTACATGACTGCTGTGGTTTGCATGTAATCTGTGGTCTGCTTAATTCCTTGTTTCGTAAGAGACGTAATCTTACATGTAAATAAAGGCGCATTTCGTATTATCCTAGGGTGGGTCTTTTTTGTCTCCCCCTTCTTAAGGCTAGTCAGGGAAGGCCAACACAAAGATCAAGAAATCAAATCAAGACCATCTTTCATTTGCCTCTTGTAATGACAGCTTAGAAGAAACTCAAAAGAAACCAAATACATTCATCCAATTTGCATGTACTGTTCATCGTACTTGCTGCCTGAAAACACAGAGAAATGACACTCTCCCACTGTGTTTGACGCTCTAATAAAATCTTAACCCCAGGGTGTTACTCACGCAAACCTTTTTTTAATATCCTTTGAATCGTCTTCAAAACATTTAGATGTTCTATGAAGCTAGAGATTGTGAAGTACTATCCATTTTAAAAAAAAAAAAATTAGGTTTTTGTTTCAAAGAATTGTCCATGAATTTTTTCTGTCATATTCATTTTTATAAGCATCAGTCTACTGATTGTTTCTGACTTAGTCCTGATTAATTTTGTCTTGTTTATGATGATGTATGATTATTTGCTACCCAGTAATACTGCTGTTGCCTGAGTATATCACTAAAATAGCTTAAACTAAGTAATAATTTTTTGGACTGTATCTGCTAACAAATTCTGGTTTTAATTTTGCAACAAGTTATTTTTGTTGAAATCTGTTTGCTGAAACTGTAAAATTCCATGATCCTTAAATGATGACAATCCATTTATTCATGTACATCGAGTACTGTAAGTGCAGGAATGATAAACTGAATTTAAGCACGATTGACAAAACGGATTTTATAAATTGGATGGTTTTCTAATTTTACTTTTTTGGGTTTTTTTAATTCTTTAGGGCTTGCAAGTTATAAAAACTCCATATTTTTTTTTCTTTAGTGGAAAGAATGGTGATAAATGACATTTCCTACTAAAGAGCCCTTCAAAACAAATACTGTGTTGGGTTGTCTTCTCAATTCACCTAAAACCTCTCTGGTATTTCAAGAAGACTTATAAACCAACATATGAACAACTCAACAATATGTATGAACAGCTCACACATGTGTGAATTTAAATAACAACTGGTATAGGCTTTGTAGGTAGTGATTGGCTACATAAAGTACCTCCAAAATGGATCAGAAATTTCCATTTTTGGGGCCTAAAGAAATTGGGCCTAAATTCTTAGAAAACAAAACAAAGCAAAACCCCAAACAAACAAAAACAAGAACAAAACCAACAAAAAAAAAAAAAAAAAAAAAAAAAAAAAAAAAAAAAAAAAAAAAGAAAAAAAACAATTTATGATGTACCCTGGCTATCCACTCCATCACCTCCCACAGTGCTAGGGGATGTCTGGTGGATGTTCCCTCTTATTTCCTTTCCCCAGACCTAGCGTGTGTTTTATTTTTTGGGAGGAGGGCAGTAGTGTTGGTATTCCCGTCACTCATCCTGCCAGTGAGTCCAACAGCGCTTAGGGGCCATTCTTCACCCTCCCTGCCATCACCCAGGGAGTTTTTGGGAGAAGGGACCCCAGCCACCTCTGGCTGCTGCGTTGGTGGAGCTGGGGCTGCGTCCTTGGACCGTCTGTTCGGGAGCCGTCCTGGGTGAGCAAAAGACAAATGAAAGGTTTTTCTCTTGCTCGTTTGGGAAACCCTGAGCTGCTTCAGTCTACTGCATGCCAGCTAATTATGAGGTCTCAAGACGTGGTATTGGCAGGAGGGAGGTCAGGCAGTTCGGGTTTTGTTTTCCTGCTGTCGCTTTCTGGGATTGTGTTGAGCAGCCCTTAGAGCATGAATGCATTTGATGTGGAGGATGCCCATGCCGTACTCAGAGAAATCTAGGAGGGAAAAAACCCCATGACCTATGAGCCATGGTGCTAGTCAGGACACCCATTAGCAAAGCCTTTGAAGATAGGAACTAAGGGTTAGAGAGTCTAAGTCTTTGATTGCAACTCTTTGTAGGGAGGACCTGAAGGCAGTAATAACACTGTAGTAGGCAGATTCATAGGCGTGGAATGTCACCATGACTTTAATAGCCCAAATAATCGCCTTTTCTTGTACTCCCAGTTGAAGGTATGATTTATAGAGGAACTATAATACATCCCCCATCCTTTCTAGCTCAGTATCCAGCATTTAGCAGTAACCTCATTAATTCTTTAAAATATGTATTGATTTAACTTACTCCTTTTCAATAGCTGCTCCAGTGAGAATGTCGTAAAACAGACCTACTGCTGCAACTGAGGCTTTGTCTAGACTGTGTAGTTTTCATTTGCCTAGTCCAAGAACAACTTTTATCCATGCAAATTGTGTTGTAGCAGCAGTGACCGTGTCTGTTTATACAGGACAACTATGTAAGTAACTCCAAATGGTGTGTGAGTACTTACATTGCTGGCACCAGGAATATCTGGGTGATATTGTTTCTCTGTCATAGTCCTCCCGGTAACCTAAGGTACAAGTCATTTGACCTTCTGTGCCTCTTTTCACCGTGTATAAAAATGGGAATAATAACTTGTCATTACCCTAGCCTTAAAATACCTGGAGGTACTTTGTTATTACAAGGCTGGGGAAGGAGTCCTATAATTACATGGGCAGAAAAACACATTTGTAGAAAGACCAGATGCTTAGGCATACATGCAAATGGGAGATTAAAAGCTTCTCTTCCTTCTCCCTCCGACATAATTTTCTTCAGATTGGAATGCCGCGCTTTGTACTTTCACAGGGATAAAACTGATTTATCAGACCAAACTCTAAGCTCTCCTAAAATATCAAAGCCTAGGTCATTATCTTAATGTCTAAGCTAAGCTAGGCTAAGCACAGCAGACCCAATGCTTACAGTATCCGAGATGCATCTTCATTGCACACTGGCAGAAATCCCAAGTAATTTACTCAGTGGAGTTACATTCTTGTAAAGCTCCTGTAGATGAAAATAGAGCTGGAGCCTCATGTTTCTGCTGTCACATGAAGATTTGACATCACAGATGTATTTTTAATACAAATGACCATGCAAACCTAAGAATTGTGCATGTTTTTGATGAATGCTAGTCATTTAGCTCATTTTCCTTCCTTTTCTGTATACTGCAGAATGAAGGGTAATTCTGTCCTCACAGGAAAAACTAGGCTAACTCCATGCTAAACCTCCTCATTTCTGGGTGGCGTTGTCTTCAGATTCACTGGAAATGCACTTGTCCGGATACGGTTGTGCATTCTTCTGACACTTGTTATATGGTTAATTATAGACTGTAAGTTGAAGGAAGAATATTTTCAGGTTTAACACAGGATTTTTTTTTTTTTTTAAAGTTGATTGGTGTTGGTCTAAGGTTGATTTTTAGTATCGTGCACTGCTGCTTTTTCCACTGCTTTCATTCTTTCATATTGCTTCTGTACCACAAGCCATTGCCTGTAGTTCTCTGAGCAGTGTGTTGCTAAAGTGAAATAATTGCACACACGTAACTATCACAATAATTTTTTTTCCTTTTGTGTGTATTGCCTTAACAGTAAGATTTGAGAAGGCAAAATAAAAATTAGGTCCAAACACCAATTGTTCTGTTTCTTTTGCTAGATGTATCTACGCCAGAGGCTGGAAGAAAATTAGTGGATGCCTCTGTAGCGAACGGTGGCCCGGCACCACAAGGAAAGCAGAATGGGGCCACGCAAGTGACAGTACAACGCAAGAGACTCCTTAAGGCTCCCACGTTGGCTGAACTTGACAGCTCAGATTCAGAGGTAAAAAAATCAGGACACAACTTGCTTCTCGGTTTGTCAGAATTGAATCTTATTCCTTAATTTGCTGAATTTACGAGCTGAGCAGCGACTTTGCAGATGATCATCTGAATTTTCCATGACTGCTTTGTTCAGCCCACAGAACATCAAAAATATTAGATCAGACCTCAAAAATTAGAATATTCTTTTCAAAGGTTAAATGCTGATTTTGGCCTTAAACCCACAATTTACTTATTTTTCTAAATGCCTAGTATCTATCTACAGCATATACATAGCAATTATGTTTTTGGGAATGCAGGCAAATGTGTGGCACCCTTCTGGCACCCATGCCAGAGCTGTCACTAAAGGACTGGGATGTGAGGCCAGCCTCACCGTACCAGCTGTTACATAAAGAGCATCGGCTGTGCCAGAGGGGCTGCAGCTTGCTGCAACTGTCAGTGCATTAGTTTGCAATATAGGCTTGGGAAGTAACACCCAGCAAATGTTTCACAGATAGGGTCAAACAAATACCACTTAGGTGAAGAAACAACTTTGAATCCATCCTCTCTCAAATTGAGATTTAAAGATCTAAAAAAGCATAAAAAGGAGGAAAGCTTAAAAAAGCTCTCTGGCTTAAAAGCTGCATTATATATGATCCTGAAGAAGTACCGACATTACATCCTCAAGAATGAACTTTGTCTTTTGGACCAGTAATAGTATAAACTGCGTTTGGACCTTTCTGAAAGTTAAGCTGTCTGGAAAGCACATACAGGCAGGGTTTGTTCCCAGAGGCTAATTTTAGCCTGGGGAAGGCAGTCTTCCCTGGCTCTCTTTCTCTCTAGTAAATGGGGAAGGAGGGGTTTCCTGACAGGGCACTTACAAAGGCGTCTAGGCTGAAAGACAGGAAGCTGGGGAGAAATACATGTGGGGAGAAATTTATCTCTTTGCATACTTTCTTGATCTCTGAAAGGTTGGCTCTCTTTGTATTAGGGGTTATCCTATGGGTGACTTGTGTGTGTGCATAATTTGGTGCATCTGTTCTGAAAGCAGAAGAGATTTGCATTCTGAAATCTCTCAGCAGTCTTTAAAATTACAATAGAGGCTATATGAGGTTTTGTTGATATGAATGAAGCTGAGCAGGATGCAGGAATATTAAGACCTGTCAATGAGAGTTGGATCTTGAACTTGCAGCTTCCCAGCTTGTAGCTCCGTGCATCCTGAAGCTAATGCAGCATGATATTTCACATGGAAAAATGAGCAGAAGTCAGTAAAAGAAAATTCTGTAAAGTGATTCTTGTAGGAGGGAAAAATAAGATGTCTGACTGTGACTGTTGATTAGGGAATACTGTGTAGGCAAGCAAAGTCATATAGAATAAGCTCTGGAACATACAGCAGAAGATGAACTGAAAATGAATCAGTGACATCGAGCTGTCACAGAGAACAGACGCGCTACTGGTTTGAGTCAACAGAAGTAGCTGGTGAAGCAATTAAGACTATTAAAATGCTCAGCAGAATACTGGTTGGGGCTCGGGAACAGTGCTAAAGTAGAGTAAATAAACAAACAGAAGGGAGTTTGGGTGAAGTTTTCCAAGCTGACAAAGGGGGTGGAACACAGAGCGTTTGCAGAAAGTGAAGATCGCTGTGTCAAAACATCTCATTTCGTTCCTGACTTTTACTTTTTATGTAACACACAGAAGAGCGCGTGTGTTGTCCTGATTGGCTATAAATCACTCGGCCACCTCTTTGCCTGCAATTTGAATTGGGCTTAACCTATTTAGAGTTACTCCCTGGGAGTTAAATTATGGCTATGTTATGCCCTAAATTACAGACTGCGAATTATCTGCACTGCTGAGCTGTGGACCTCCAAATGAGCTATGATGCAGACGCATTTTCTTCCCCCTGCATCCCCTTTGTTCTTCTCTCGGCTGTGTTGTGGTGCAGACTATGCCCCAACACTCCGTGTTACCAACCAGAGGTGAAAGGGAAGGTCTGATACAGCCCTACACCCATGTGCTGGCAAGGATGAATATGACACAAACCGTTCCTGCTTTCTGTCCTTGCTTTTTTCTGATTCGCCACTAGAATCACAATTCCAGAGGGGAAGCAGGATGTGCCATTTTGCTTTGCGTGGCTGAGAGAAGTAGCAGTGTAATAGTGATTTTTGATACAGATATAAAAATGGTGTCTTCCTGTTGAAACTACAGCTGTCCAGACAAAAATCGTGTCAGTAAGATGTTCAGATGTTTTAAGGTGATGCCTTTAAAGCTGCAGCTTTCTCAGGACATGTAAAATTCTACTTGTTTAGCACTCTGTGGAGAAGTGTGCAGTCCAGGATGCTGGGTTGATCCAACCTCAACTGTAAAATGTCAGATAGTCTACCATAATAGTCAACAGTTACTGTATTGATATGAAGAAATTCATACGATGGTTCATCAGTACTTCCTACACAAGTTTTCATTCTCAAAAAAGCCTTCCATGTTTGAGAAATTGTAAGGCAGTGATAGCATTTTCAGTACAAGTGTTTGTGCACAGAAAAAGTAATTTGAAATGACAAACCAGGAATACTTGTTGTCTTAGTAGAATGGTATGTCAAATTTAATGTACTCCTGGCTTCCATTCTCCCTGGGTTGGTTTTTTTTTTATACTTACTAATTTTTTATACTTAGCCATTGGCTCTGACAGTTCATTCCCTCTCATTCTTTAGAACAAGAAGTATGGCTCCTGGAATCTTTCTTGTAGGTCTTTACCATAGAGAAGCCCCTTACTCTCTGCTTTTGTCCATTTCTTTCACTCTGTTTTTTTCGAGACTCCTAGGCCCCTGGAATAGTCAGTGTTCATCCAATACTAATGAAATAACTAGAAACCTTTCACAAAAATTCGAGCAAGATGGAGACATCTGTGTGCTACCTAGTTTTGCAACATGAGACTGAGACATCACGTCCATCTCAAGTTCAGAAGGGGAATGAAGAGCAGTCAAGAGCTATTTCTTTCCATTGAAAGATGGCAATTAGCAAACTTAGATGGACATGTAAAATCTTTCTGTAATCCCTATTTTACAGTTTTACGTCAAAACATATATAAGCTTTTGACATTTTCAGTTGTGCATCTTGTTTTGTTTCTCTTCTCTCTGTGCCAGTGTTTCAGACACAGGAAAAATGGAAGAAAAAGGAGAACAAAAAAAAAACAGAAAAGCATGTAAATAAAATCAATGCATAGACTGTTGCTTCAATCATTATTCAATCTTTTATGACACTCTGCAGCATAAGATGCCAACAGCTGAAGCACACACAATTTGCGGTCAGGACTAGGTAGGGTCCCACAGAACAAGAGACTTCCCTAGAGCAAGGATTGCTTGGGTTGCGCTCCAGAGACAGCTGTTCCCAAGCTGCTCTTCAAAAAGTCCTCTCTGAAGCCCCGGCTGCTCCTCATTCATAAAAATACGTGGCACAGCACCATGGTTATGGTTTTTTAATTGACAGCTTACTTAGTTCTTCATCTTAGCTTGTTAGCTTCTCTGGCAATGGGAAGGTAATCTTCCACTCAGAAGAATTTGACTTCTACAAAGTGAAAGGTTTAGTAGTTCCCTTTGTAGAGAGGTTATTCTCCTTCACAAAATTTAAATGTTTATCTCTAGACTTGTGAACAGGGTTGTACCCCTTGTAAAGAACAGTGCATCCAATTGTCTTGCAAGTTCTCCAGTGGTCTTTTGAGGCAACCAAGCAGCATGAAGCAGTGATGTGCAAATCTGTCTGAGCTAGCTCTGTAGCTAAACTGTACTGGTTTCTGGAAGCAAAACAGCTGATGCAGCTAAATGTGCTTCCTAAACTTCCCTACAAGCTTCCCATCACAACTGTTTTGCGAGGTCACGCTTGATATGTTAAAGTGAACATAGTGGTTTGGGGTCCAAGCTGGTCTGAGTCCCGTTGCAGAATACCGTGTTGTGGCATGCACATGGGAACGGTATACGTCACAGTGTCCTCACATACAACGCGTACCCTTGGACTAAGCATAAAGTACGGATCGCCTGATGGGAATTTGTGGAGGCCTCAGTCCTGTGATGCATGGTGCTCATTGAGGTGACCCGGCCAGCTTTTCTCTCCTGACTTGCTGTTACCAAAGAAGGCAATCTGTCAGTCAGCGGTGGTTTTCCTGCTTGCAATTCACGTAACTAAGGAAATCTATGAGAGAGAAGCTCAGCCACTTGCTGGATTTTAGAGCAGGTCACTTGTTTGATCTGTAAATCTCGACAACTTAAGTGATGTAAGTCTCCTTGGTTAAAAGCATTCACATCAGAGCTAAAGCACATTCACACGCAGTCCTTCAACTCTGTTCCTTTAGGAGGCTCCTGTGATGATCTGTACCTTACTGGTATCTGGTGGCTGAAGACAGGTTTTAGGTGAAAGCAAAGGAGTTAATAATTTTGGTGGCATGACGCTTTAGATAGCTGGAAGGTGTTCGTCAAAGCCAGTTTCACTTTCATTCATCTTGCAGGAATTGCTCTTGGCTGTTGTGATGAAACGTGCTTCTGTAATGAATTAGTTTTCTTTTAAATACAGAAGAAAGGAGAAATGCACCAGGATTAGGGATTACAGAACAGTGCAGTGGAGATCAGATTAATTTCTCTTTACCCAAGTCACTTGTATGAGTGGCTCCCATTCCTTTGGAGACCAGAGAACTCCAAGTGCTGATGCCTTGCTAGTGCAAGGTATAAAGTTGAGTTAACGTATCTGCTGTAGCTGCAAATCCTTAGAAGTCCTTGAATACAATGAGGAAAATTAACAGGTTACAATGGATTCAAGCACCTCTCTTCTGATCTTGTTCTTTCATGCGATAGTTAAATACACTGAATTGTACCATTTACTCTAGTTTCTAAAAAAACTGAGCGTTGAAAAATCAATTTACTCATGCTGTGTAGAGTCAATGTTTTTCTTGGGACTTCTTCTGGGGCTTTGAGTGATTGAACGGTGCAAAATACCTTTGATAGCTTGTGATTTCTGTGTGCTAAGAAGCAGTAAGAGAAGAAAAAGCAGTTCCTGAGGAATTCTGTTTCTTTTCCTCTTGCCACATAGGAGGAGTCGGTGCACAAATCGGCAAGTAGCAGCAGCATCTCCCCCTCACAAGTGGAAGACCCCTCTCAAGAAGGCACCAGCAGCAGAAAGAGTGAGTTTTGATGAGAGAGCCTGGTGGCTGCTTTTACACACCTCTGTTGTCTTCTGGTCTGTAAACTTTGTCTGAAGCTTTTCTAGAAAACTGAAGCTGAGTGTTGTTAATGGAATAAATCTGGAAAGCTGAACCCTAGAAGCTGCTGAATAGGTCAAATGTGATTAACGATTGGAAAGCATTGGCCTCCACTATATGTGAAACATATATTGGCCTTCACTATCTTTGTGAAACAGGAGGTTTCTTACTTGAAGTTGGCGTGGAACTGTGGAGGAAGTCAAAAGGGTAGAGGGTAGCTTAGCTATGCTCATCTCATAAAAGAATTTGTTGCTGCAGAAAGCCATTCTAACCTAAGACCGATTTAAATGTTTCCTGCATCTCTGTCACCGTGGCAGTCAATGTACTTGTTTGAAAGACACATAGCAATCACCAGTATTTCTCATAAGTTCTTGCTGTGAAGAGGGGAGGATCTGTTCTTTTTTTTCAGGCACAGTTCTTGTAGGCTTTACTGTGTAACTGTATTTTTCATTTATTTCAAAGTGTTTCAGTTTCACTGGAAAGGTTTTGTAATGAAATGTGTAATCTGTACATGTATTTTCTGTGCACGATGGTGAAATAAGTGGAATAAGCCAATACCCTGAAACACCGAATTTACGTACAGTGGTAGCTGGACAGTATAGTGTGCTTGTATTTGCTAGTTTTATGAGTACTCCTATTCTCTCAACCTGGAAAATGTGATGAATGTGATACTTGTCCTGAAGATGCTCTAAGTGTGGATATGTAACTTCAGCCACCAGCAGTGGGAATTCTACCAAATCCATGGCTGGTTTAAGTACTGAGCAATGTTATCCAACAGTCTGTCTTACAAGAAGACTAATTTTTTTATACTGGTTGAATCTTTAGTGCCTCCAAAGTTCTTGCCCATATCATCTACACCACAGCCTGAGAGACGGCAGCCACCTCAGAGACGACACTCCATTGAAAAGGAAACGCCAACCAATGTGAGACAGTTCCTACCACCTTCAAAACAGAGCTCCAGATCACTTGTAAGTGGAGTGAGTGGTAGGAGAGAGAAAAAGAGGCATGCTAAGACTATAATGAAAATTAAAACTTGGCTTCAGTGTGATTAGAACTTGACTCAAAGAAAACTCCTGAATTCAGAAACAGCCCTTGGCTACTAAAGATGTTTTGAAATCAAGATTTGAACTTTGTCTCTCTAGCATATTTATCCAAGATCCCACGTACAGGTGCCTCAGACAACATTTGCACTTTGATTAGGTCTCTGGGTAAAGCCACGTGTCTTGATTTTATTTCAGAATGTTACCAAAACAGATGAACTTCACCTTACTGATTTTCCATTTGAATAGAGACAATTCCAAAGCAGTGGATCTATTTTGGGATTTGGGGGAATTTTTTAGTTGTTGGAAATATTTTAGGTAATGGCTGAACGAATGGAATGGTTTCTTTTCTCCCCACCCTAAGAACTTGTGTGGTAATGTTTATACATGTGAAAGCTCTTTCAGTCATCCAAATCAAGATTTGGCTATGTTGCTTTGTTGAAGGCAAAAACCTGTATTATTGCTTGAAAAGAAAGTACAGTACATTTGATCAATTAACTTCAATTGAGAGCTGTCTTCCAACAGAGTATAAACAGCAAAGGGTATGGAATCCTGGCTCGGTTATGCTGACATACTGATTAGTGCTTTGTAATTGCATGCAGGATATGTTCCTCATCTCTTTTCCTACCAGCAGGGTTTCGAAGTATGTCCCACGAGGTGCTGGTGAATAGAGAAACTGATAAACGCATCCTAGTTTTGAAAGGAAGGGAATATTCACTTGCCCCGTCTTGTGGTGCAGTGGCATTAGTGGGCTTTGAAGAGTGTTTTTGTTGGCCCAAGAGATGGTGGCCGGGATCCAAACCTATTAGATGATGGAGTCAAACAGTAACAAGAAAATAATCTCCAAATATTCCCACAACATGCTTCCTCCTGTTCTTTTCAGAGGGTCTGCTGGATTTTGTTTATTATATCCTTCCAAGGAGAATGTAGTTTCTCATTCCAGGTGAAAGTCAGGCAGTAGTACGTTGATAAATGAACAGCACAGATAGACTTCTTCTGCCAAAGTGAACCTGGAGCAGAACCAGAGTATTGCACCAGAACCAAACTGAAGGGTTCCTTCAGGATGCGTTTGAAGACACGGTCATATAAAATGGATTGTCCTGTCATCGCCTGCTGCACGCACTGTACGTGGAAGCACAAGCTTTATTCTCTGATAGGCCCAGCATCGTTCCCAGACATATTGTTTGAAGGGAGGAGGGGAGTAGCCTTGTATGTTCTATCGAGGCATTTGCTCCATCACACTTTCAGTGTGTCTAAATATGTTACGTTGTAACACTGCAACTTAAAATTCTTATATATGAGGACATTATTTTAAATAGATCAACCAAGTTCTTAACAGGACCTTTTAGACCACGTACGTATTTCCCTTCCGTCAGTCTGTTCGCTGACATATCCTTATATACCTATGTACCAAATAAAACCAGTGCAGAAAAACTAATTCAATTGTTCCACTCCCCTTAAAAATACTAAAGGAAGAGGGAGAAAAACCCATGAGATAAGTCAGGCTAATGTGGGAACCAGTAGGGCAGTGATGTTCTGCTGACAAGAACCCGCTCACTTCGGTGCCTGGACAGCTGATCCCTCGCCGTGGCAATAGCGCCCCCTAGGGGGTGGGAGGCCACTCCCCCAGTCCTGTCGGGGCTCCTTCTGCTCGGTGATTTCTGATGTGCTGGCACCGGCCCAGTCCCACACTTTGGCTCAGTGCAAGTCCGTCCTTCCTTCCTTCTGTCCTTCCTTCCTTCTTCTGTCCGTCCTTCCTTCCTTCCGTCCTTCCTTCCTTCCGTCCTTCCTTCCTTCCGTCCTTCCTTCCTTCCTTCTGTCCTTCCATCCGTCCCTCCTTCCGTCCGTCCCTCCTTCCTTCCATCCGTCCTTCCTTCCTTCCGTCCTTCCTTCCTTCCTTCCTTCCATCCGTCCTTCCTTCCTTCTGTCCTTCCTTCTGTCCTTCCTTCCTTCTGTCCTTCCATCCGTCCCTCCTTCCGTCCGTCCCTCCTTCCTTCCATCCGTCCTTCCTTCCGTCCGTCCTTCCTTCCTTCTGTCCTCCCATCCGTCCTTCCTTCCGTCCGTCCCTCCTTCCTTCCTTCCGTCCTTCCATCCGTCCTTCCTTCCTTCCTTCCTTCCTTCCTTCCTTCCTTCCCCGGCGGGATGCCAGCCCCTTTCAGGGGCTGTGGCAGATGCTGCCTGTGTAACGTTGCCATTCCCAGAGTGAATGCTGCTTGATAAGTGAAGAATATTATTTCCTTTTTATTTGACTTCATGCTTCTTCATCCCTTCCTCCAGCATTGATGGAGCTTCATTTCTTAGCACCTGCTCCTGTGACCGCAGTTTCTCTCCAAGGTGAAAGAGGCCTGGTCAATAAATAGCCCTCGATGCCAGCGAAAGCAGGCCGGGGTTTGCTACAGTCTCTCAGCAGGATTAGCAGAACGCGGTCTGCCTTGCATACTAACGACGGCTTTGTGAGCTGACGTCTCGTCAGACAGAGGGGGTGAGACCTCACTAGGAGGGGAGGGGAGGCGAGCTTGGGAAGATGCCAGACACGTTACCCGCCCAGCGCTGCAGGGAAAGGCTCAGGGGTTTGGGGGTCAGCCCCGTGGCGCACGTGCTGTCGTGAGCTGACTTGGTGCTTAATCGGTGAGAGGAAGCCAGTGTCCCGAGATGTACGTATGGATGCCTTTGTAGTCTGTTTGCTTTCTAAATTATTATTATTATTATTATCGTTCTTTTTTTCATGACCCAGAGGACCAAAGCTGAAGGTTTCATTTATACACAGCGTTCGCTTCTCTGCTTCCTATCTATTGTTTAGGTTCCTAGGATAACCCGTTTATTTCCAAGGATGACTTTCAGACCACTTTTTTCAACTATGCAAACAGCTTCTCTGCTCAGCTCTCATCCCGTTGAAGCAGCCATGTGTGGGGTGGCAGGGGCTATGTACTATCTCTGTGAGAGAGCTTTTGCCAGCAGGTGGAAACCCGCAAAGGTTTGCCTCTTTTTGCTGGCTTTGGAAATCACCTTCACCAGCATGTTCCCTCCCAGGGGAGCACTTCCTAAGCTGCGGCAAGAATTAAAGCTTAGGCTGGGACATTGCACCTGATTGACATTGATTTTAATGTGTGTAGGATATTTGTTGTGTCTTCAATCACCTCACGGGGAAAAGAAATCAGTTCTGAAAGGACAGCAAACTAAAAATGCAACATCACAAGATTATAAATGGGACAGACCTTAAATGTTACAGCACATGAAGATCCTGCAGCAAAAATCCAGCAAAAATATTGTAATCCTTGGACTATTTTGAAAAGAATAAGGTTTTATGTTTCAACCAGGAGAGACTACATAGAATGGAAGGGCATTGGCAATCTGTTTTACTTGAAAACCTACATATTGTCTTGGTCCTCAGCACACACTTACGTATCAGAACATGCAGAATAACTAATAGCTATGTACCAGGGAAGGCAAATCCACTGAAAAGAAAAACTAATTCATTTACCCCTATGTAGAATTGAACATGAATAATTTAATTTTTTCTCCTTTTTCTTGTCCCAACCAGTAAGTAGAAGCATGAAACCTGTTGCAGGAGAGTTTATAGTTGAGATATCCCTCTGACTTCTTAGAGACTTTTAGTCTGCAAAAGCAACAAGAGTTGAGAGTGCTTGACTAATCATGAATTGCAGAATTTAGAGGCCAATCTAGCACTTGTTGATATTGCAATTTACTAGCGCAGCTCATTTGAATCCCTAGTGACACCCTTTAATGAGAAGTTTTACAAGGAGTATATTAGTGTAAAAACGTGTTAGTCACAAGGACCTAATAGGTGTGTGTACGCTGAGAGTGACCTGAGTCATTCCAGAATAAGTCCAGAAAATCAAGACCATTCCACCCACATTTTGTCTTTAGTATGTTCTGTCGTATGCAAGAGTTGCAGAGAGCTGAAGTTCTCTCACTTGGAGCTGCCTAATTTGGGTGTAGATTGTTGTTGGAAGTTTGAGCAGTAACTCCAAAGCATCGTTGTTTAATGAAGTTTAGCCAGTGCTTACTGTAATTTTAATTAATTTCAATGCCTTAGAGGTAGTGTAGAAACAAAAGATTTTTTTGTATACTTATTTCTATTCGGAAAAGGGGGGAAAAAATCAAGTGTTTTTTTGAAATCAGCATAATATTTATCTTTAATTTAATGTTGCATTAACATTTTGTTGTCCTTGTGTAACCTCTGGAATTAAAACATTAGCATTTAAACATGTGAACATTTTCTGTGTTTCTGCTGTTGCCTGGTAGCTCTCTCTACCTGCTTAGGCGATAATCGTTTTCAATTGGTACAACAGCAGGCCCACACTATTCCCCTATACCTGCTCTACACCTAGAGTCGATCCGCAGACTTTCTTCAAAGGAGCAATATTCCCTGATGTCATCGTTCTGTAAATTAAAGGAATGGGCGTTCATGAGGGGGAAGGAAGAGCTTCAAGTAAGAAATGTATTTCTAAAGGACTTAAAGCTCTGATTGATTACGAGCATTCAGCCAGCCTCATTCACCTCGGAGGGTTTCTCACAGTCTCCCACGATGCAGATTCGAGGGCTTTGGCTGGCATTGTGTGCGTCACGCTTTCCCAGCCTCTTCCTTGCCAGCCTTCAGCCGTGCCTTCTCCATAGCGAGGCAGTTGCTGTGGAAAGAACCCAGAATGAAACACTGGGAGCTGCTGGTTAGCTGTAAAGTTGCTCATAAGGAACAGAAGTTACGTTGTTTTGGCTGGGCAGTTTTACACCTCGGAGCAAATTGCAGTTGCTTTTGATGTAGCTTGTTCTTTCCAGAAAACTAGTGATTCTGTACCCCAAAGGTTTAGCTGGCAAATCTGACAAAGTTAACTCAATTCTAGTCTTTTGTGGGGTACCTTAAACAGAGTGAAGTTTCTTTGTGTTCCCTTTCTAGATAGGTAAGACAACAGTTTTTAAAAATGTGGTGGTTCCTAAATGCTAATGTTTGCCAGGTCTGCAACGTAGAAAGATTTTCTTTTTAACCAAATGGAAAGACAGAACCGACCTCTGAGTACATGGAAATGGAGCATTTCACTGCTAATCCGATTCATTGCTTCAATTTGTAAACCAGATCTCCAAACTGTCAGCCACAGCTTTGTATTTGCAGGAGAAATTTCCTTCCTTTATGCAGAGAGCATTACGTGTCATTGACATTAGCGCACAGCAGCCCCTCTGGGCTGACTGAAAAGGTTCACTCGGCATAAAGCGATGGGAGTTCCCACAGAGGTTTCTGTCTTTCTGTTGGAAATGTATAATCAACTACAGGGCTGGATTACAAATGGGGTTGGTGCTTTTTATTCTCTGGTACCGAATTCAGGAGTTCTCTACTCAAAATTCTCCTAAATGCTGTAGTACAGAACAGATGCAAAATTTTGTAAGTGGGAAGTTGTGTCATTAGTCTCTATTGCAGTCTCTGCCATCAATAATGCAGCGTTGGGTAACCGGATCTCCTGCTTTATATTTGAAGATTGTTCTACAAAGCTTAAATTGCTGCTGTTACTTTGCTGAGGCAGAAAGAAGAACTTTTCTGCCTGAACTGATGTAACTTTTTGTAGTCTTGGTGGGATTCTGATCACGTGAGCACCAAGACGTGGTACCACTGAATAAAAATTTCTGCTAGAATGGGCTGCTAACAACTTTCCTTGGTCACTCTGGGCATCACAAAGTCTCAGAGAAATTGCGTGTCTTCAAAAAGTAATGCCATCTGCCACATTACCTTTTCTCTTTCAAATTATAAACCTGAACATTGTTTGGTTTGAAACAAATCTTCATAATAAAAGACAAACGGAGAGAAGGGTCAAGTGGTTTGAGGAGGAAAGATGAAGACAAATCAGACTGTTTAGGTCACACTTACGCAGTCTCCGACGGTTTGGAATTCATGTGATGCCCAGGAATGAGCCAGTGCTATTCCAGTCTGAAGGGAGAAGCCCTCTGTTTCTGGAGCTACTAACCAGGTGGCTGGTTGTCTAGGTTGAAGTCTGGAAGAAGCCATTTGGCTTTGAAATGATATGGGTTTTTTGGCTTCCAGGAGGAATTCTGTTACCCGGTGGAATGTCTGGCTCTGACGGTGGAGGAGGTCATGCACATCCGTCAGGTGCTGGTGAAGGCGGAGCTGGAAAAGTACCAGCAATATAAAGATGTCTACACTGCTCTCAAGAAAGGAAAGGTAGGGCTGAGTCTTTGGAGGCTCCGAAGCTTATTGAGGGAGGCCAGTCCCACAAGCCTCCCATTTACACTCTTGTTTCTTACCCTGTATGGGAGAGAAAGAAGAGATATCCACCAGACATCCCCCTCAACGCATAACACATGGGTCAACTTCCTTGAATTATGTGCAGAAACATCAAAACTTTTCATGGAAATACCTTATTTGTTTAGATTGTCTATAAAAATGCAGTCACGTCTGCAAGTATCAGAGCATCTCTGTATGTGTATGTTTTGGACTCCATCGACTGAAGTGATGGCTGTCCCCATGCCGTCTGCGGTGTTGCTTAGCGTTTCTATTCCAGATAGCAGTAGGAAACCACAACAAGCTTTTCGTATCAGTCCTTACTATCAAGCAAAGAGGGAAGGAAAGCCTTCAGAGAAGTCAGACAACATGTCACCCCAGAAGGAGGTTTAATATAAAGAGAACCCATTAACTAATGCATTTTTTTCTGTGAACTGCAGATTGGGAATTGGTGTTTACCAGTAGAAGCAGTGTCCTTTTCTCCCACTTTTGGCTTGTGCTTCTTGAACACCTCCAGCAAGTGTATTTTGACTTCACAGTGTATTTTACCTACAGGCCTACCTGTGTCTAGTACGCAGATTTAATTTAAAAATTTAATACATTTAAGGCAGAGGAACAAGAATCTTAAAATGTCATTCATTAGATTCAGCTGTTGCCTATTGTCATGATATATAAAGCTTAGTACTGAGCTTTTATCAAATCTCAAAGCAAGTTGATGCTTTAATTAATTTACCCCACTATCAAAAATGTTCACTTTTATTTCTAATCAAATTTATCGAGTCTCTGGATCTCAGCATGTCATCTGCAAAACTTTCCATTGTTCAATGCCTTTCCTCCCTAGAGATGTTCTTAAGCGGCAGTCCCTACCTCCTTTGAATAAACTGAATAGATAGGGTTTATTATCCCACTATAAAGCAGGTTTTCCTCAAGTAAGGTTGCTATAATCGCTCTTCCCTGCACCTCCTCTAGTTTTCAAGAACGTAGGATTGGAAGAAAATCATCAAATGTTATCAGAGGCAAAAACTTTGTGTCCCAGAACCTGACCCAGATGGTGAGGAACCATTTCCAGCCTAAATGTATTCATGGCTGAATTATGCCCATTTGTTCTCGTGTTCTTCAGTTGTAAGAGTTACCCTTCCTTACTGCTGTTACTCTTACTTTCCCATTGTTTTTTGCGTAGTAACGATAGAAACATCAGTGAGGGAGAAGTAAAAATAAGTTAATAATTAACTGGCAAATATTTAATTTAGACAAAAAAAAAAAGGAATATTTCTAAATATATGAAGATACAACTTTGGACCATTCTTTTCAATATCAGAAGTATGGACGCCAGAACTGCATGCAGTACTGTGACTGCGCTCTGGCTGACAGCGGCTGATAGATGAAGTCGTTACCGTGCGGGACTTTGCCTAACAGGGGCTCCTCTCTTCTTCTTCTAGCTCTGCTTTTGCTGTCGGACAAGGAGGTTTTCTTTCTTTACCTGGTCTTACACTTGTCAGTTCTGTAAGAGGTAAGTATTTCATATCTGTTAAATAATGACTACCATTTCAGAGGGAAAATTATTGATTTATGCATTGGAAACCCTCAAATGTTTCTGCTGCGTACTGTCGATCGTTTTTTATTTCTGTAACAGTCAATGTTAAAAAAAAAGTATGCAAAACCTGTTCCTTCCTAAGTGACAGAATTGCATCCTTGGACTGAAACTCTTGGCTGAAAGTGAGAGAAACATTCGTTTGTTCTTTTATGCTCGTGGGAGAGTGAGGTGGAATTTACTCAGACTCCCCAGTCAACAGTTCCATGATCTCTGTTGTGGGGGAAAACATTTCAAGGCAATTTACCTTTTGAATTATTTTTGGAGTATTGGGGCGGGCAGAAAGGAAAAGGAATCATCTGCAGGCAAAATGAAAAATTCAAAGTTGAACAGTGAGACAGTAAGTCTGGAGATCTGCGGAGTCACTGACTTACCAAAGGAGGTTTTTTGGCGGGTTTTTTTTCCCTCTATTTTTCAATTTATCTGTAGTTCTGGTTTAGCATTTCTCCTTGCCTTTGGCTTCGTGTTCTGATTGAAGGTACTACATTGAAGAAGCTTTAAAAATAAAAATGCTTGTTTAAGGGGAGGATGGGGGAGGATTCTAACTCCTGAAAACATTTATCCCTTGTTCTTGATTTAAATGTAATTTTTCCCAGTGAAACAATTCATGCTCTTGCTTTCTTACACAGGCCTGTATGCTCACAGTGTTGCAAAAAAGTAAGTAAACAAACTTACGGTTAGATCCTTTCTAAAAAGCTGTCACCTCTGTAATGATACTGCATGTTCCTTCTGCTGTCCTCAACAGATGCGGTTGCCCTCAAAGCCATATTCTACTCTCCCCATCTTCTCACTGGGACCTTCAACCTTGCAAAAAGGAGAAAGCTTCATGAGGCCAGAGAAGCCCTCTACCAGTCACCACCATTCACTGCGGAGCATGTCCAGGTGAGAAGCAACCCCAGCTCACGTGTGTCTGTTGCACAGGTTTCCTACGGGTTTCATGTTATCAGTCATTAAGAAGATGCTGTCTGCCCGGTTTGTAGTTGTCAGTGTTTCTAACGCTTGTAGTAACTTTTCTGAAGCCTGAAAATCCATGTCTCTGCCACTTACTGCTTTGATTTACAGAAACAGCAATACTAACGGCGTGTCTTGAACCTTTCTCACATCATAGGTGAAAAATAGTATGTCTGGGACAACTGTATTTCTGTAGCACCTCTGCACAAATATCCCTGGCATGTCTTTTTCTGGTGTGAATAGACTCTCTGGAGATAAATCTCGCAGGCCAGAATCACTCACTGAATGGGAATTCAGTTATGTCTTCCACAGATTTATCTTTTTTGCTCCTAATTTAATTCTAATTTTCACTGTTTTTTTTCCAATTTGATACTGTCCAAGTTGTGTACTGGTTTTGTATCTTATACACAGATGGTTGTCAAAGCTAATCCAAGAAATTTAATACAAAATAAATGCTCCTTTTTGAGGGGATCTACAGTATAAACCCTCTGCATAAATCACAAGTGCTACGATGCTGTGTCAAATTAGCCAAACACATCATCTATTTATAGCTATTAGTAAGGTTGTTTTTGCCAAGGTAAGTGTTACACACGCCCTCGGTTAGCGACCATGCCATCTTGCCGAAGCAGGCAGAAGCTGTCCTCTCCGGTGTTTGGTCTCCTGGTGTCGTTTTTGGGACAGGAGGAAGGAAGATTTAAATGAAGACTCTTCTGATTGTTGTTTCCAGAAGGTGTCCTTTGGGGCTCGCTGCCGTGCTGCTAAAGGATGTGACGGGCCCTGCTCTTTTGCCTTTCAGGTTGACCTCAAGGTCCAAGTCTGTGGATAAATCGCATGAAGAGTTTCCCAAAGAATTAATGGAGGACTGGAGCACGATGGAGGTGTGCGTGGACTGCAAGAAGTTTATTTCAGAAATCATCAATTCCAGCCGGCGGAGCCTGTCTCTGGCAAACAAGCGAGCCAGGTTAAAAAGGAAAACGCAGTCCTTCTACATGTCGTCGCCAGGAACCTCTGAGTACTGCCCCTCTGAAAGGACTATCAATGAGATCTGAGCCTTGTGCCTTTTCTTTGCTTTTGTCCTCATGAGGTCATCATCCGTGAGCAAGGTCACTGAAACTGGATTATCATTCCGCCGCTTCGTTTCACTTGACTGGCTTGAATTTGCATTAGGTCACAGGATTTCCTACTGCAGCGGTTCCCAGAGACACAGAACGCGATGTTTAGATCTGTGCAGAGTGATACGTAACAGGTCAGCTGCTTGCACTGGAAGAAAATCAAGAGTTGGAAATTGTTGCCTCTTTTGTACGTGTGTGCTGAAACTAGAAAGCCTTTTCTTGCTTTCAGTCTTTTTTTAACCATGCTTTGAATCATTTTTCAGGAGATGAGCTGGAAACATACATTTACTGGCGAACGAAATCTAACAAAGTGTCAGTGTTAGCACAGTAGCGAAGGGTAAGTCATGTGGGCATTACCACCCTAGTGATGCTCACGTCCTAGGTGAAACAGCAAAGGGTCGTATCGCACACCAGACACCGCGTGTGAGCGGCTGTGGTCAAAACCGTCTGTCTTTGAACTGTTTCTGTTGCTCTGAGATCAGAGTTCAGCACGGGACTCTACAATGCCTGTGTCCTAGGACAAAATGTGCGAGGAAGCGCTTCACCCATGTGGTTGGCCATGCCCCTGAGCTGCTGTACTTTCGAAGCCTTAGTGTACTTCTAAGTGTCTCCTGAGCAGGTTTTAGTAGTTTACTTTCTACCTTGAATGTATGATGATGACTACTAGTAGCAGTGAATTTTAGTAGTAGACAGAGTTGTACAGTTTATGGGGAGGATGGGAAATAAGGGAGGCTTCTAATTTCAACTGAATACCTGTAAAGTTGTTGTGGTGGTTACTCAGAGAGAAGGGTGGGTAAGGTGTACATTTGTATGATAGTGGAGCACACAAATTCTGCTATAGTTATGTCTGGCAGCATATCCGCTGACAACCCCATTTTTTCTGGGGTGTTGTAACTTGGCTGTAAAAATCCGTGTTCTGAAATTTGGGACAGTGCTGTCTCAGATTGGGAGCAATCTCTCTTTTTTTTTTTCTTTAGTCCTTTTCTGTTCTTTCTCCCTTTTTAATTCACTGATGAAAGAGTGCTAGACTAGTTGTTTAGAAGTTCCAACAATGTTACAATGTTAACTGACATCTCATGCTTTTTTGCACTTTTTTTTATATTCAAAATACTTTTTTTTAAATTCAGGCATAGCCAGAGTTTAGTGGATAATTTGGGGCCAGATCATTTTGGTATTTAAAAGCAAGCTAACATAGCCAAGTTATTAATACTTGAAAATCAACTACTGTAACTTTTTCATAAATTTTTTAATACCCTGAGGCATATTTAATATCTATATAGCAGTGTATTGTAGAATGACATAGCAGAAAAGTTTCAGATCTATTTATTAACATTTCTATTCTTCGGATTAATGAGAGATACCTCAAAACTGCTCCAAAGTAGCTGGGACTGGATTTCCGTAACATGATTTTAAAGACATACCAATCAAAACAGACAGATTCTCCTGTCCAGATCTCGCGCCCTGAAAAGCCCCAGAGGAGGCAGGCTGCCCCTGCCGAGGCACAGCGTGGAGGCCGTGGGGCACCGGGGGCGGTCGGCTCCCGTGCGGTAGCTGGGCTCCAGTCCCGCCGGGTTGGGGAACAAGGCTCCGGCTTCCCCTTCAAAGTGCATTTGCACGTTACGTCGCAGCCTTCGGAGCAGCCACTCGTAGCATATCTTTGAAGTTGATTTGAAAAGCACATGCAAAAGTCTCCTTAAACCTTCCCAGGGATTCATCCGTCCTTATTTTTCTTTAAACACCCCCTTGGAAAATGAGAATATTTGCATACGCAGGGCTTAGTGAAATCATGTTTTTATTTTTTCTGAACCGATGCGAACAGGAAGAGCAGGGCTGAAGGGTGACTGTCCCTCGTAGCTGTCCCGTGTAAGGTCGGCTCTCATGGCCGCAGGAGACCTCGGGGTGCCTCTGGGAAAGCGGCTGGCCTGTTGAAGCACCTGGAGTACTGGCGTGAGAGAAGGATGTAGGCTGGCAGGAGGTGAGCGGCACAGATTTGAAAGGTCTGCTGTTGCGGGAAGGGGCGCCTGATCTTGGTCACATCAGCACTTTTTCTTGTGTCTGTGCCAATACCAGGCCCTGTGTTTGCTGCACAGTGCATCAGGAAAACCAGACTGAAAGAAATGCAGGAAATCTCACTTTGCATCTCCCCTGTTGCGGTTCTTGCCCTTTTCTCCTGGAAATGCCCCAGCCACACGTTACAGTTGCTCAGTCCTCTGCTCGCCTCTTTCCTGGCATCC